GATATTAAGAGCTTTCTCAAAGAAAACCAGAACAATTAAGGATTTATAAGCCCTAATATAAGAACTTGAGAATCTTTACTAAAAATCCTGAGAGACTTCAACAGGCAAAGTAATTACTGAATATTCAGGATTTTGAAAGTCTTTTCAGAGTGAAAATCGAGAAATTTGTAAGATAATGACTCAGAATTACTGATTTAAAGTTGTTTCGTAGAAGGCCAAAAAACATTTTCAAGGTTTGTAGCATTCATAATTTTAAGATCCACAGAGTCGAAAATCTCAATTCAGAAGTCCTAAGAATCTTAGGATTCTACAAATTTTTTCATAAAATTGCCAAAAAGTTGTGAAGGCTTGCAAAATTTCAAGATTTGAATAGAAAATCGGAACATTTTCAAGCAAACATGTCAGGATCTCAAGGTCCTAAAGATCTGAAGAAATTCTCTTAGAATCAGAAAGTTCTTTCTAAAATTTATAGATTCCAGAATCCAAGCCAGAATCTTAAGAGTCGAAAACGTCAATTCAGAAGTATCTACTGAAATCATGAAATTTCAATTATTTTATGTTGACATTTTGTGTGTAAATGATCATTGAAGACCTCCCAAATTCCATACACTAAATAATTATGAGATTTGGATCCGAAATCTATGAAAAAAGGGACTCAGAAAATTGAAAAATCGATAAATTTATTCCAAATTGCTTAACGCGATTTTATTTCTGGAACTATAAGTCCAAATGAGCTGAAATTTTCAAGGATTGTATTCCTCTACTGGGATAAGATTTGCTGGAAATTTCAGCTTTCTATCTCTAATAGAAAAAAAGTAACGACCTTTCAAAGTTTTTAAAAATCCAAATTATAAGGTTTAGTCTCGGGTTTAGTACTAAAATGATGAAATTTTATTTTTTTTAATTTTGTGTCTAAATGATCATTGGGGACCCCCCAAACTCCATACACTAAATTATCTGAGACTTGGACTGGATTCTATGAAAAAAATGCACTCAGAAAAACTGATAAATCACCCCTAAGTGCTTAACGCGATTATATTTCGGGAACTATAAGTCCAAATGAACTGAAATTTTCAGGGATTGTATTCCTCTACTGAGATAAGAATCACTGAAAATTTCAGCTTTCCATCTATACTTAATAGAAAACAAGTTATGACACTATCAGTTTTCCAAAATCTTAATCATAAGGCTACTTACTAGCTACTACCTCAGTACTAAAAGGATTAAATTTCAAATTTTCTTATGTTGAGATTGTGTTTCTAAATGATAATTGGGAACCCCCCAAACTTCATATACCTACTAAATTATTTTGAGATTTGGAGTCGGAATCTATGAGAAAAGGCACTCTGAAAAATTGATAAATCACCTCAAATTGCTTAACACTATTTTATTTCTGGAACTATAAGTCCAAATGAGCTTAAATTTTCAGGGATTGTAGTCCTCTACTAGAACAAGAATCGCTGAAAATTTCAGCTATCTATCTCTAATAGAAAAAAAGTTATGATTTTTTAAAGTTTACAAAAATCTAACAGCTGTATGCAACATCCTCTTTCAACTTAAAAGCGCTTTTTAAAACTGGTCACTTTTAAAAATGTGTATTCTAAGCCATGCAAAATTTTAGAGGTACCAGTTTTAAAAAGCGCTTTTAAGTTAAAAGAGGATGTTTCATACAGCTGTAAATCATAAGGTAGCAGGTACCCCAAATTGCTTATTGACTTAAATAGGTAATTTGAATTTTTAGTAAATATTTTCTCCATCAAACCATTTACAATGAAACCTCGAATTTTTTTTTTTGTTTGACTGCCCTGTATGTTTGTCTAGAGTCTACGCATAAACGAATTAATTATTCAAACCTTGTTGACAAAACAATGCAATTTCAATTTATTTACTTTTGGGGTCACAAAAAGTTCAAATTAATTTATTTTGCGGAAATTGACATTGTTTGTGTTTGAAAACTAAATATTTTGAATTTTACATTTTGCTGGGGTTGGTCAAGGACACAAGTGGTTTCTGGGTGAATTAAATTTCGGTTTTCTAATGACGCAATCCTCAAACAATTTAGTTTATTGCTTAATGAGTTGATTGACTGTTTCAAATGTTCACGTTTTATAGACGATTAACTGGTTAATGCTGGTTTTATCTTAATCATTGTAGAATGAGTTTTTGTGCTTAGAAATCCACTAAGTTTAGTGATAATCCTTTAGTAGCAGAAAATAAAGCTCTAGCAACTAGAAAAAAGTATCTAAAGTACATCAGACAGTGTAAATGCTTTCCAGAGACGCCAAAAAAACTAATCCAAAGCGATTCCATAGTCTTCCAATAGCCAGGAAAATCCAGGAATGGACAACATAAAGATTTAAAGCACATGCCCCATTGTCAATAAAATCCATAATTTATTTCAGGTTTTTCTCATGATTGTTTCTCACAATTAAAAATCATTTTTTAATAATATCAATCCTCATGTGCTTTCCATTGACGTTGTATGTATTTTTTACTTGTCACTCAAATATTGTTCCAAAAAAATAAAAATAACACAAACATGTTTGTTTTAAATTTTATCCAAATTAAAAATCAACAATCTTTTTTGGAAATTCATTGTCATTATTGTGACTCTATAATTAGCTTTTCTCATCTATGAATTTTTCATTCCACGTTTCTTCTCTTGGCATAATTCCTAGATTCTCGAAAATTTCAGAATTCTAAAATGTAGGGCCAAAATTCAAAACGTTTTTTGGCAACTGACTATGGCTGCATTTCATTTTGTAATGACTTTTAAGCGTCATATGATGAATATGTGCATTAAGTATGCAGACAGTGGATATAAGCCAAATTTCATCTAAAATTTATATTTCTGCTATTAACACGATAACTTGAATTATTTATTTATTTATTTGATAAACTCTTGCCTTGTTACATTTTCCAGAATTTGATAATGGGACATCGCGTGATAACAACGCAATAATAATTGTTGATAGTAGTTGTGGGCGGCAAAAATCTCAGTATCGTTTTTCTAAAATCGTAGACGACTTACGCAATTGACGAGCCTATTTCAAAAGGTTAGTGACTTGATTATTTGAGACAATGTTCTACATTATATCAAGCCTTGATTTGCGTTGAACAGTGGAAAAATTGTATTTCAGTTTCCTTTTTCCTGATATATTTAATTATAATTGGAAACCTTTCAAAACATCGTTTTATGCGTCACTTGTATGATGCAAGAAAATGAGGAAATTCAATTTAAAGGTCAAAGAAAGTATCCTAACTATTTATAAGTTTTTCTGGAAATTTTCTTTGCCCATGTGAACGTGAACCGTAAAAAGAGGTCACTTTATCAAAATTAGGTCAAAATACTACTGTAAAATTATCAACCAATGATTCAAACCTTGACTATAGTGATAATTAACTTGTATAGTAGAAAATATTTCCTCGTAAGACTATAATAAAAACAATATAATCATAAGACTTGTGATGTCACTAGAATTGGCACCAACCCACAAATATTTTAGATGTGATTCTATACTTAATATAAATATTCTTGAATAGTGAGGAAAGAAAATTGTGGCAAATAATGGCCATTAGGTAATTGGAGTAAGTTAAATTCAGTTTAAATTAGATTCTTCATTGGCCTAATTTATAATTTTATTAAATGAGTCATAGTCATGGGGCAATTGTGGATTTCCTGAGATACCTGACAACAACCTTTAGATATCCTCTGTTCAATGATAAATTAATGCTGACAAAAATATTAATAATGGTAATAATTCTTGGAACCAATTAGCATTCTAATTATGCCGTGCCTACCGGCCTGCACCAATCCTGAACGATTGTTTGACGTCAGAGTCGCAACCAGCTGGGAATGAAGTCATTTCACAATCGCGTTTAATTTTCATTATCGTTTTTATCTCAGATTGTTGCGGTCGTTTTGAAATTTCTTATTTGAAGTAAGAGCAGTTTTATATAAGTGATTTAACAAGTTGTTTTATTGAATTATTAATTGCATTGTTGTATTTTGGACTAATCTAAAAAAAAATGGTTTGGTTTTCGAGTTATTCTTCGTTGTGCACTAGGTATGTGATGCATGATTTCAGTTCATAATTTTTTTTTAATTGAATCTACAAGTTTTGAGTGGATTTTCAAGGGATTTTCCTATTATTATTAATAATACTGATAATTTTTTGTTTGTTGTTTATTTTGAACTTCAATAATAGCATGATTTTCAGCCAGAATTGTTGACAATTTTTTTTTTATAAGCAGATATTATAGGATCAATGACATTTTTGTTTAAAACAAAAACTTAAGAAAATCAGTAGTTTGTTATGGTAATTCCAAAATGTCTAGACATTTTGTCTCTTTAAATTTAAATTATCACTAGGAAATCATTGAATGATCACGCGCCAGCAAAAAGGTTAATTACGTTTTGATGCGTTTAAAATGATGATAATAATAAAGCCAAGATGAATAGACAATTTACTTAACGACTGATTAACCAGCAATTTATTCAGAAACGTTGCAATGTTTTTCTTTTGATCTGCTTCTCAGAAAAAACTTGAAGAAGCAAAAAAATACCTAAATATTTGGTTTTGAGCTTTTTGTCTGTTTGAGAAATTTCTTCCTGCTCTTTCAAAGAAGTTTGAGGGGCAAGAAAAGTCTGTTGAAATCCATGAATTGTTGTTATTTTTATCATCAATAATGTTTTGCAACGTTTTTGGTAAAATCTTAGGAGGCTTGACAAATTGTTTTGTTACTATGAAAATACATAGTAACAATTGTTTATTCAAAGAGAAAAAAACAAAAAGATATCTCACGATAGTGTTTATTTTTGAATCGCAAGAAAACATCATGTGGTGTAATAAACGATGTTTACCCCACACGCCAGCAACATATTTGCCTTTTTAAATAAATCAATAGACACGTTTTGAAAATAATGCCTTCAATAATATACGCAATTAGTAAGCCTAATTAGAGAAAATTACCTTTCTTATCATACTGTTTTGTTTCAGATTCGATTTAGATCAGAGCACGTTTTCACCTACAGGTCTCGATGACACTTTCATGTACCATCAAATAAATCCAGTAACGAAAAATGATCCAGCAACAATGACAGATACGAAAATTGTCACAGCATCATCAGGTCCAGCTCAAAAAGTCGATTTTTCAAACCTCCAAGTCAAACCGCGACCCAGAGGCACCGACGACGGCTTCAAAAGCGAAGCATCTCAAGTTGGCAGGTCGATTTTGAGTGTGGCCAATCAAATTGTGTCTGGAAAAGCGTTGCCCGAAAACACTCCAGAGCCAGCAGCTGAATGCGAAGAATTATTGGCCAAATTCGATCCTTACAGACGGAGAGGTAGCAGATCTTTACCAGCTTCGCCTCTTGCTTCGCCTACAAGTAGAAGAAGGACAAACAAATATTTCACAGGCCCTTACGTTGAAACTGATAAATCCAAGGGCTGGATTTTATCTAGTTTGTTGGCAAAAAGGGAAATCTCACAGTCAATGAATTTTATCGGAGAAGAGAAAAAAGAAGAAATGGAACACATTGCATCAGCCATAAGTGTTGATGATGTTACAACTAATAAATCTAAATCGCAAATTTTCATGGCAAAACCTTCAGAGTTAAGAGAAATGAATTTTTGGTCTCCAACTTCCATGTAAACAATTTACACTCTATTATTTATTTATATTTGACTATACGTTTCATATTTAGTATTATGTGCTGTAATAATTAAAATAGGTTTTTTATTTTTAGGTTTTGTGAATGATGTGATGTGTTTGAATGATGTGATGCAATAAAATTACTATATACAGCATAAATCTTTGAAATTTCAGTTTTTTATTTATTGATTTGCTATTTCATGATGTGGATTTAAAAACAATACAATATACTATTCCAAGATTCAGAGCCATTCTATGGTGTTTGGTAAAGAACCCAATAGCAACTCATTGGAAATCCATTTGGGGTCTGAGACAGGCAAAAGGGTTTATATCTAGCTCAGCAAAAAGATCTGGGCCGGTATTCTGGTCCTCGAAAACGCTCACCGCTTTTCAGTCGCTCAGCACTTTATATGTAAATTTACATTTGAAATGCCGAGCGACTAAAAAGCGGTGAGCGTTTTCGGGAACGAGAATACTGGTCCTGAACGTGAACAACTTCTCAACATGTCATCAACCTGAGTAAAATATTACCAGACAAAACAGAGAATGACTTCTGCAGATTTAACGAGCAAGTAGATTTATTTGCTTTCTGCAGAATTTTGTAACAGACTGAAATACCTTGGAGGAATACCCTCCAAGATTGTAGAGTCTTAGTGAGAGCCCCAAAGCTGAAATTTAGTCTACATTTTGTTTAAAACTTCAATTTTCTCAAAAAATTATAAATGGTAGCGATTTCAGTTAAATACTTAACTCATTTTTTGACTTTAGAAATCGATAGAGCAGGTCCAAATTAGTCAGAAACAACTATGACACCAAAAGGAAATCTCATGTTTGGCTCTAAAATTTTTTTGCAATCTTCACATGCTCATGAATAATTGATAATCAACCCCTATACTATCTATTCACAATCCGATGTCCGAAGGTAAAGGTAAAATTTATCACCTTTCAGTGCTATTTGATAGGGAAAGGTGATAAATTTACCTGTACCTATTACGGAGTGTGAATAGAATACTTTTATGTTTCGTCCTGGGACGTCACAACAGGAGCGTGACCTGGGAGCGTAGATGGGGTTCAGGTAGAGAAAAACTCGCTTGGTATAAGTATAATACGATAATGTATTGAATAAATATTATCCTAGAAATAGAATCATGAAGTCTCTTCTACGGAGGGGCGTACTACTTATAGGCCACTCTGTATTATGTACCCTCTATCACTTGGCATGACTGAACTTGAGTTTGAGACAGGTCCAGAAGGTCGTTTCCCAATAAAGGTAGTTTGCACTGGACCTAGTCTGCTGCGTTCAATGCTTCCAGAAAGACTCCAGGGTTGAGACAGGCCCAGAGGGGCGTTTTTCATTAAAAATAGTTTGCACTGGGAGGAGACTTAGCTAGAGGGGCTTTTCCCATTTGAGGTACTTTGCACTAGCCTTAGTCTTCTGTTAATGGATTTCGGCGCAGTATTTATACCATATTAATGCTGACTCGTCGACACACTTTAGTAAAATTGATGTACAGAGTGGTATTTACTTAAGTAGTTGACAATATTGTCACAACCTCTATACGTTTCGTCCTGGGACGTCACAACAGGAACGTAACCTAGGGGCGTAGGTGGGGTTCAGGTACAGAGAAACTCGCTTGGTATAGGTATATTAAGATAATGTATTGAATAATAATAATATCACCCTAGAAATAATATCATGACGTCTTTTCTACGGAGGGACGTGCTACTTATAGGCCACTCTGTTTTGTATTATATAGGTACTCTCCGGCCTCCTGCGGCGTGACTGAAGACTGAAGCTAAGTTTGAGACAGGTCCAGAAGGGCGTTTCCCAATAAAGGTAGTTTACACTGAACCTAGTCTGCTGCGTTTAATGCTCCCAGAAGAAGCTAGGTTTGAGACAGGTCCAGAAGGGCGTTTCCCATTAAAGGTAATTTGCACTGGACCTAGTCTGCTGCGTTCAATATTTCCAGAAGGGCGTTTCCCATAAAAGGTAGTTTGCACTGGAAAGAGACTTAGCTAGAGGGGCTTTTCCCATGTGAGGTACTTTGCACTAGCCTTAGTTTGCCGGTAATGGATTACGGCGCGGTATTTTACACCAAATAAATGCTGACTCGTCGACATACTTTAGTAAAATTGATGTACAGAGTGGTATTTACTTAAGTAGTTGACAATATCTTCAAATATATATATTTGAGTAAATTAGTAATAACTATACATCACTGAAAAGAACATTAAATTCTCTATCAACTTGTGCAAAATTGGGTTTTGTAGCTTGTAGACATAGGCGCCGGGACCATGGGGAGCAATGAGGGCTTGAATCCCCGTAGTAAATTTGCCATGGGGGCGAAGCCCCCATGGTGATTTTGGTATTGTATGTTGTGGGTGTAGTGGCTAGGTTCATAAATATTGAGGTCCTTTATATCAAACTTGTGTGTTTTATGTTTTTGTTGTGACGAATTAGCTTGTACCCGGTTAAGGCAAGACGAATTGATGCTGGCGTAGCCAGGGGAGGGGATGAGGGAACATTTGCCCCCTTCCCCCAAAGGCCTTTAAATCTTATTAATAATTCAAAATTAAAATAAACAAAAAAATCAATTCAAGTCCTAGGTAAATACCTACCTAATCAAATACATAGGTACATACCTATATTGTCATATAAGTAACGTTACCTTTGTACTATAAATTCGTATCAGAATTTGTTAGAATGGCCGCATCCCTCGCTTGCTCCCACCATTAGAAGTCCTAAAAATATCGTGAAAAATCCCAGGAACCGAGTATAGCCGAAGATGCACGAATTTTGACAATATGCAAGGAAGATCGATGATACAGCGACTATAGCGTGGCAATTCTGCACTGAAATGAGTATCTGTCAACTAGTCCCATTTAAGCCTATGTGTCTAGTAGCCTGGTCCTGTCTGTATAATCAATTCTAATTTTTATGTTAATTTTTGGATCCCGACCCCTCATAGTAATTTTAAAATTCCGGCGCCTCTGCTTGTAGAGTTTTAGAGATATTGAGCCTCAAAGTTGAAATTTAGTCTACATTTTGTCCATAATTTCAAACTCGTTTTTCTCAAAAACTATAAATGGTAGCGATTTCAGTTAATACATAGTTGCAACTCTTGAAAAAAAATCTCTAATGTTTTTACCAGTTTTGGACAAGTTGAAGCCAATTTTGACCCTAGCCCTGGTCAAAATCGAGAGAAAGTGGTTTTTCACCAACCCTGCTAAGAAGTGAGCATTTTACAACTTTTATGCATAAAATATCTGGAAAGGTAGCCAGTGTGTAGGTATTATTGAAAAACGAGTCCATTAGGCAATCTACAATAATCTCTATTGAACTGATAGACCGTCAGATATAGTGACATATTTAGGTGCCCAATTTTCGCATTGGCCATATTTTCTCGCAAACCGCGTTCATCAAAAGATTAACTAATAAAACCTGGCATCGTGAAAACAAATAAGGGGATGTTGCAGGTGGCTAAAGGTTTGAAATAAGGACGGAACATTGTAAAGAAAAATCGAGATTTTGGGCGATTTTTCCACACAAGCCCATCGGAAGGATGAAAATCTACAACTTCGGTAGCAGGAAAACATATTTGCTTGAGTTGCGCTAATGGAAAAGTACATTTAAGGGTAACAAATGTAAAATTGAATTTGCCATAATATGTTATCCCCAGGAGCCACTCGTGAAAATACCTTCAACCTACTCAAAATCGATGTATTTTTCAACCCTCTTTGAGGCTTGTATGCGAAAATGTTGCACCTAAATATGTCACTATCTGAAGGTTTATGATGTGAATCTAAAGTTTTTCAAATTCGAACAAGTTTCCATTCTATATACCTACATTGTAATACTCGAATAACAATCCATGAATATAATCGCCATCATTATTAATACTGCAACCTCATTTCCTTATTGTTTACACACTCTGGGCCCCCTCGATTTGCATAATAAAATGCAAATACCCCATTATGCGCAGAAAATGTTCCCTTCTCTTTGATAAAGGAAACTTTTCCGGTCAAAAAGTGAAAATTCCCAACAAGAAAGCGGAGCTTAGCGTGTGCGCTCCGCCGACTCCGGAATTTGCGCCAACTCGGAAAATCGTTTACGAATTTCCCGAAGGGAAATCAATATGATGGCCTAGTGCCCCGTGTACGTGTTAACACACCAAAGTTTTCCTTTGAAAAATCATGGAAATTGTTGTTAAAGATGGTTGTGACAGCTAGTGAAGTGTAGAAATAATAAAGTGTAAAGTAATTTATCTAATCTACAGTATATAGATATCAAAATAATTTTCTGGACCTGGAAAATGTTTCAGACAATTATGAACTATAAAGTTTAGGTTTATTGAATCAAAATGCATTTACATTTCGAAAGAACTGTTAATGCTAAAAGCGACTGCCCAATTTTGTCTTTAACATGGATGGGAAAGGTGCCTGATGAGTTGCCCGAGGTAAGAAACGTTGAACAAATTTTCACTTATTTATATTTTAACTTTATACAATCTTATACAGGTTTACACTTTACAAGCATATATTTTTGATTTCATTAAGAATTTAATACAAAAATTCTCATTTTTTCATTTGAAAAAACTAATTGAATTCTTGCAAATTGCTATAGATGATGGGTCATTTCCTGCACTTTCCATAGGAGTTTCCAATAATTGCTCTTTCAAACTAATTAATCCTGGATTTTAATTGACCCCTTGGCAACGTGTTCGAACTGTATTTTTGCAATTTCCTGTCAAATTAATCATCTGGATTGCTTTTTCTATGTCTCATTTTCTCTGACAAAATATACGCCCATGCACGCAAAATAATCCCTTTCCTCCAGCAAGAAAAAGAGATTATAAAAGCTGGAGAGCTATAAAGATAACGACTCTGGGATTTCCTCCTACATAAAAAAAGAAGAGGCAGAGGGCACACGTATCTTATTGAATAATAAATAAAGAGTCAAGTTTAATATCCCTAGAGTGACTTTGGGACGATCGTTAACCTACTTTCTCAGCAGAAAATATTTAGAAGAGAATGATGTCATCTTGTTTGATTAAATGTTTCTTTTCTAAATGAATCTCCAGCAACCAAATTAAATTAATGAACACATTCTCACAAATCCCCTCATCATCATATTATTATTTAATCAAGCTCTATATAGTCAGATTATTAATTACTTTATAGGACGAAGGCTGGAAGCTGAACAGAAATAATTATTATCAAGAAGGCTGGCTGGCAACTGGAAACGTTCGAGGAATTGTAGGGGTGACTTTTACAACAAGTCACTGCAAAAAAAACGTAGACTTTCCATTGAGGACTAATTATAATTTACGAGGGCACAGATCAGAAGTAAGAATCCACTCTATGTTTGATTTATTGAAACCATTGTTGATACTTGGCCTAACAATATCTTATTCTTTCTGGCTAAGGTTATTCTAGTCAAATGGAACGAACCTTACCAAAAACTAGCTTCGTGCGACAGCTCTGGAATAATATTCGTCTGGATCAAGTACGAAGGCCGATGGTCAATTGAACTAATCAACGACCGCAACACTCCAGTGACTCACTTTTCTTGGTCTCACGATGGAAGAATGGCCCTTATCTGCTATCAGGTTAATCCACACATTACTTATTATCCTTATAACTATCCATTTATTTATAGGATGGATTCGTCTTAGTTGGTTCAGTGGCAGGACAACGTTATTGGTCTTCAATGCTCAACCTGGACGCGACCATTACATGCGGAATTTGGACTCCGGACGATCAACAAGTCTATTTTGGAACAACCTCTGGACAAATAATTGTGATGGATGTTCATGGGGCGATGGTGTCTCAGGTGCAACTCAGTGGAGACGTCGGGATCACTTCTATGGCGTGGTCTTGTGAAAAGTTTAAAATGGAAGAAGGAGAAGACGAATGTTCTAGTTCAGGTACCCTAAAAAGTAGGAGGTTTTATTCAAAAGGTGATTACAGATGAAAGGAATAAGGTGGATATGTGGAATTTTTATGTGGTTTTGTAGCAAGTTTGGAGTGAATAGAGAGTCTCAAATAAAAATTGAATGCCGCATGATGTGGTTTTTTATAAACCAACAAATATTTATCAGTATTTTTGATCATCTGTTGCATCCACTGGCGACGATATGCATAAGATTCAATATGGATATTCGGTATTTGGTTACTCTAAATATTATTCAATGGATAAAGGAGTCATAGATAATCAAAATTTGAATTATTACCGGTTCTTGATTCTCTGGAAAACTTTCCTGGAGCCAATCAAAAGCCGGTAATAGTCAAAATTGGAACTTTTATCAACTCTGGATTCGCTAGAGAATTTTTCTGAAGGCATTGAAAGCTCAAGAGCCGATAATAATCAAAATTTCGAATGATCATTAGCAGCTCTTAAGTTCATGTTAATAGAAATTTCTTCTGATTGACTCTAGAAAAATTATCCAATGGATTAAGAGCCACAGATAATGAAAATTTGTACTATAACCGTCTCTTGATTCTCTGGAAAACTTTCCTGGAGCCAATCAAGAGCCGGTAATAGTCAAAATTTGAACTTTTATCAACTCTGGATTCACTAGGGAATTTTTCCAAGGGCTCAAGAGCCGATAATAATCGAAATTTCGAACAATTATTAGCAGCTTTTAGGTTGATATGAATCAAAATGTCTTCCTTCGTAGCTTCTAATTGGTTAAACAATTTGTCATGCGCCGCCACTGGTTGCATCTTGTACCAATCAACATTCAACCAACATAATGACCCTCTCCCAATTTTTAGGAGACCGAAAATTCATTCTAGCAGTCTCCTTACAAAACGGCTACATTTACCTTCTATCAACCTTCGACGATGTAGCTCCTATTCACATCAACACAGGCCTACAAGGGCCTTTGTGCATGGAATGGAGCAATTCCAGAGAACTCCTGGCCGTTGCTGGAATCACTCTAAAATCTCCAACCCTAGGACCTCAAATCGAATACACCAACATGCTGAAATTTTATACGGACAAAGGAGTACTTTTGTACCAAACACAAATACCAGACACACATGTAATAAGGATTTTCGTAATGTCGATACTGTTGTTAACGGAATAATTTTAGGCCAGAGTTTCTACACTTACGTGGGGCCACAACGATAAACGGCTATTTTTAGCCACAGGAACTCAAATTCACATCGCCTGGGTGGCTAAAAGGATAGCTTCTTTACAGCTACTTTGTAGATTGCGCATCTACAATTTGATGCCGAACGAATCAATGCTTTGTCAGCTACCTTTACCGATGCGATTGAGGAATATTATAGGAAATCTTTTTGCTCAAACTATCAGAGTAAGTTTCAATTATTATGATTATTTGAATGTGATTCTAAGATGTCTTTTAGTGTTGTGTCCCAGAACCAAGTGCCCTGAGAGAATTCGTTTCGAGACCACCAGCTGGTTCAGTCAGGCTTCATTGTACAATGATAAGACACGACGAAGATTGTAATATTTCTTCTGGCACTTGCTATACTCTTTATTTGGAGTATCTTGGAGGTTTGGTGCCTCTACTTAAAGGCAAACGTACCAGCAAAATTCGGCCAGAATTTGTAATATTTGATCCTCAAATTGAAGGTAATACAGAATACAGATGAAGGCTGTGGTCCAAATATAACCAGGATCGTGGTTTCGCGGTCCAAAAGTAATCAAATTACTCTGGTTTCTGGAAAAGTAGTTACTTCTGGACCTTGGTTTCCTGAAATCTGGTTAACCAAATAGGCCGGCATACACACACGTTATTTCGCGCGGTTTATCGTTGCGTGTTGGGATGTAGCGGTTTGCATGCGCGTGGCAAAAAAAGCGTCATGTTCCATACACCAAAGTTATCAAATGATTTAGCATGTGATTACGCGTGGCATATCAGTTTCAAAGGAAAAATTGTATGTGTGTGGGCAAAAAGTGCAATTTATCGTGTCATTTGAAAGTGCATCTGGTCATGTACTAATTTTCAACGTGATAGTATGCTATGCGGCGTTCATGTTTTTGTATTAGCCTCAAAACCGTGACGTAGAATGGCGTGTGAACACGCACTATCATGTACTTCAGCACTGACGTCACATTCCAGATGAAAGCGCGTATGAAATCCCTTCCCATTCTATCATTGCGTGCAGCCCTCCTCACTCACGCACACGATTTTTCACAGGTTTTTGTAGATAACACGATAAACCGCGCGAAATAACGTGTGTGTATGCCGGCCTAATGTCAAAATAGTTACCGGCTATCAAATGTCAGTTCATTCTGTTATCGGTTCTATTGGTTTTATCTCAATGGTTTTATCTGTAAGTTCTGTCAATTATTTTTGATTTCAAATTTGCGTTCCCCAAGTAACCGGCAGCCTTATTCTACAGCATATACAAAAACAATCAGCAGGCTAACTCTCACGCGCATCTTTTCTGCGCACGCCGCCATTAGGGGATACCATCCTGTCATTAAACGGCAGGGGCGCCGAAATTTTGTTTTATTTCTTTATTTCAGTCGAAGGTCATAGGCATGCGGGGTAGAGCGGAATTTTAGTTATGATTTTCGAAGTGATTTTTGTATATTCGTGTTGTCATTTATAGTGTTTTCTGTTATCATTGTTGTTTATTTAATAATAATAATAATAAATTAGTAATTATAAATATTATTATATGTAACTATGTAAGTAATAATAAATTAGTTTATATCCTACTGAACTATTATAACCATATAATACCTTGGTTACGATAATCATAAACAGGGTCTTAACTCCCAAGGGAGTTAAGGATTTTCATAACTCCCGCGCGGGAGTTAAGGATATCAAAACTCCCTAGGGAGTTAAGGATTTCCATAACTTCCGCTTTTACCTTGAATAGGTAAAACTTTGTGAACTTTATAAAAATGGACAAAATACTGTAAATTCAGTAGGATATAAAATTATCTATGTACCACGGGAATTATCAGGTGTTAATACCCACGGGCAATTGGTGTCCCTCGGGCCAGAGGCCCTCGGGACACAAACGTTGCCCTGGGGTATTAACACCCTCATAATTCCCTTGATACATAAATAACTATTATGTACTTTAGGGACTAAAAGTATTCTTTTAGTCCCTATTTTCAGGGACTAAAGTGGCACTATTTTTCCCTATAGGGATTAAAAACGATTTTAATCCCTAAAATAAATAGGTAGGTAAGCAATATTGCATTAGTACATATAAGCATTAAAAACTCAGGTAACTATAATAGTATATTGTTCATCTTAGCAACTTGTCACAACACACTGAGATTTCGATTTTTGAGTAACATGTTGATGTCAAATAAGGTGCATTCATTTTTTCACATGACATGTCATCATCATAACAGCGTTTTGTAAGAGTACGGTCAAGTCAAGTCAAGTGGCATTTAATTATTTTTTTTTTAAAAGTTTTTCTATCCTCTAAAGTACATACCTCGGGACTAAAGTGTCTTTTTATCCCTCGACGAATTGTAGCCCTCCCTTCGGTCGGGCTACAAACTTTTCGCTTCGGGATAAAAAGAGTCACTTTAGTCCCTAGGTATATAATATACCTACTATTATTTAAAGCCAATACGACTCTGTGACAGGAAAGAAAAAACCTAAATTATCGTTAATCAGGCCCTGTTTCGTATCCCAAAATGGCCGCTAGTGACATTTCGACAATGAATTCCTTTATTACACGGGCTGTCACTCAAGTTTCAAGTTAGCCGGCTGATTGTTTTTGTATATGCTGTGCTTATTCTGTAACTTGCTGCAGAAAATTGCGCAATTGTCGCTGTCAAGTCGCTGTCAAACGCGAGTTTTTCATTCAAAAAAAGCAACTTGCGACTGGTTGCTATGTAATTGCTGTTCGTAGTAACCATCTGTCAACCGATTAGGTCACTTTGGTAACCTTTGGTTATATTCGGACCATAGCCTAAGTAAAAGAAAACCTCTAGAATCCAGGGTTTAATAAACTCAGAATATTTTACCATACAGAGCATACAGGGTGGGGCACAAAAAACTTCCCACCCAGGTTTTCTCAGATGTTAGGTGATTAATTAAAAATCGTTCGAACACGTCAATTTTTGTTTTTTAGGGGACATATTTTATTGGTATTTTTATCCCCTACCTGTCAATCCCTAAGTGGGGGGTGACAAGTACCCCCAAAATTTCAAATGAAAAGTGGGGTCAAATGATACGTTATTTGTTAGCTATTTTCATTAAAATTATTTCCCCGAAGTTTTACCCTGTCGAAATGGCGGCTTGTCAAAGTTAGGAAAAATCAATGAAAAAACGCTATGTGGTTTTTACCTACTGTTACCTACGCATAGGTGTGACAGGTAAAAACTATAGAGTTTAGATTATCGGAAAATAGTATATTATTCAACGAGCGGGTAATGATAGCTATTACTCACGAAGGATGAAGTTTGCGCACTACGAGCCGCAGGCGAGTAGTGTAATCATCCGAGTGAGTAATAGCCATTAGGTACCCACGAGGAGAATACTGAATATGAGTAATCATTCACATTGATCAATAGAAAATGGATGTATATTACGCATAATATTCAATATTGTAATAAATAAAAAAGCATTTATCGTAACTTTGACATGCCGCCATTTCGGCAGGGTAAATAGTAGCAACTTAAAACTTCGAAGATATAATCTTTATGAAAATAACTACCAAACAGAGCTGTCACAAATACTGGAAAATAGAATTTCAAATACCAAGTATCAATTACGGGTAATTCGTGTTGCAAGTACAAATACTAAATACTTTCAATTTGAAAAGTATTTCAAGTTTCAATTAGTTTAATTTAGTACTTGATTTTTTCAAGTAAAATAATTGAAATATTCTGTACCTAAGTATTTCAAGTACTTAATTAAATATTTGAAATACCTATGGTGTATTTGAAATAATAAGAAGTACTTCAAGTACCCACTAAATAGGAATTCAAATTATTCAAGGATTTTATTTAAATTGTATTGAAGGCTGAAAATTGGAACGGGGATACTTTGTGACAAGGGAGAAACTTTGTGACATTGTGAAATTCACTTCAAATTAGGCAAACATTTTAAATTCTGTGCGCGAAGCCAAATTTTTCTACCGATAGGTAGAAACACATAGGTACCTCGCTCGCTATAAAAGCCGCTTGGCAAGCTGGATTTGAAACCTCCTCAGAAAAATTCGTAAGAATTTCTAATTGCTAAGGTACCACCTTCTTGTCGGGATATCTACGTAAATACGCTTACGATTTATCAGTTTTACACATTTTTTTCAACAATAAACAAAACAGAGTAACTATATGATATACAATGAAAGTTTAAAATGTCTAAATCAGTATATACCCGTGTTTCTAATATGAAAAAATTATCAAGCAAATACTTGTTGACATTTCCTATCGTTTCAGACTAAAAATGCCGGGGTTACAATATGTTTTTATTGTAAAAACGCACTGTCACAAAGTTACCCTGCAGCACGGGGTAAAATTGGGACAATTTCAAATTAAAAAAAGGCTGAATTATCATTATTTTTTCAATTTTCTAGAGCTGCCAGTCTGTAGCGAAAGAACGGATATAGGTACGGTGTATTTATTTTCAGAATTTTATATGGCAAAGAAATGTTCGAGAATTTCAAAAAACCTCAAAACATGTCACAAAGTATCCCCGTTTTACGGTACTTCTAAAAATGTACTACAGAGATTCCAAATTACAAGATTCCAGTTGCAGATTGTAGTTACTTTCAATTTAACAAATTAAAATTTATCTAGTATCTTGAGTACAAATGCCAGTATTTGAATTACTTTTTTGTGAATCCAAGTACCAAATACAAATACTTTATTAAAAGTATTTGCAGATTCAAGTACAAATATCCAAAAACAAAAGTATTTGAATTATAATACTTCAAATACTAAAAAGTAATTGAAATACATTTTCAATAGTAATATAACTAGTGCAATGGAAATTATTGATAATTTTTGGGAAATTTGCCCGAGTGCATTTTCAGTTAAAAACGCATGAGTGCAAAGTAGGAGGCACGATTAACATTGAAAATAGGCCCCCGTAAATTTCAACCAAATTTCAATATTTTAAAGGTATCATCATTGCCAAAAAAAAATTTGGAATGTAAAGACGATCGTATGTCTGTGATAGCAGATATAGCTTGTCAAAGTACTTAGGTCCTGCTCTCCTATGCATAAGAAATATCCTAGGAAATATCCCTACGTAGATTTTCTTGAACATTTCGAAAAATTCTAATCCGATTTTCACGTTTATGGGGTCATTTTGTAGGTATGTATTTTAGCAAGCAATGTATCTAAACTCCAATATTTCAATACAGGGTGTTGAAGTTATTGTATATTTTAATAAAATCTCGAAATCAAAAAATAATGTTAAATACAACAATAAACCTTCATAATGTTAACTGCCCTGAGAGCAAGCTTTAAAAAATATTATACAGGGTGTTGTCCTAATCAAACCTATTTTTAATTTTGTAATTAAATTATTCGGGGCAGCATGTTCCTCTCAGCAACATCATTTATTCCATTGAAAATATTATCTTGTGGATAACTAATGTATTGTTGGTGTCTGGCATATCCTAAAAACCATAGTACCTACACTAGCCACGTGACAACAGGTACCAACCGTTCTGGCCCTAGAACGACACGTGCAATAATATCCAGATATTTGCATATTTGGATCTTGATCATATGTTATGGCCTGCTGGTACTTGGTAGTGTTGCGATGACGGGAGTTTATTCTAATTCTCAAAAAATTTTGGATATTTAGGCGTCTCTCTATTTCGAAGTTTAAATCTCCAAACTTCTGGGCGTTATCGTGAACATAGGATGGAACCATAGTAATTTGAAAAGTGCCAAAAGTAAAGTTTCTCAAAAAGTCCAAAGTAAGAATAGGAAAATCAGCCATTTCCTCATGTTCCATTGCTTGCCAGTTAGCATGGCGTCTGAATAAGCCTTCATTTTCTATCCTTTGCTGTAAGTGGTTTGGTTGTCGAGCTCTTGCTAGCATTTGCTCTGCTCGTTCAGGAGTATTATTTTCACAATGAATCGTCGGATGATATCTGTTTATAAGAACGCAAGCCACTTTTAAAAATTGGCCTAAACGGGGCACCAACCTTTTTTTTGGAAATGTATTTTTAAACAGTTTAAAAATATTTGTCAAGTGGCCATTACGCGTTTCTATTACAAATCTAGATTTAGTCACCAATCTGGACTTATTGGCTTCTTCAACAGGTAATTGGGGTCTACGTCCTAGGTGTGCGCAGGCATTTCGATTTCAATACCAATATCTCTTAAAAATTCTTCGGCATCCCTGTAACCTCGGTCTAATACAAAAATAAAATGTCACCTTCTTCAAACCAGTCTCTTATTTCAGCTACATTTTGATTATGATTCCAGAATTCATCTGAGCCCCATTCTACAGTTTGCACATTCAAAAACGCGACGGTATTTTGCATACACATTGATGTTTTTGATTGCGCGTTCAAGTATGTGCGTACATGTTTTCAGACATCCACGTCCGTGTGTAACCGCCTTAAGCCAGGGACACATCTATCATGCATTCTTCCGATCCGACTCCGATCATACAATCAAGGTCCTTATTCTTGGAACAGAGGAGCAGCGGAACATTCATTCTCCTTGGGAACGCTGTTCCCTGTTCCAAGAATAAGGACCCTGATCGTATGATCGGAGTCGGATCGGAAGAATGCATGATAGATGTGTCCCGGGCTTAAAGAGTAGCTGTATCGTTGTTACGACTGTCTGAAAAGTATGGACCATGCATTGCCAAAATGTATCCATCAGGGGCACATAATATTGTCGGTTTCAGAAGGTGATATTGTTTGTGGACAGAAAATGATCGCCGAAGTACTTGAAAGTTCCGACTTTTCTCAATTTTGATATATGTAGCATCTATCACACATATAGCCTTTCGAATTTCAGGTGTTTCGTTATACAGAATGTTATGAAATTCGCTTACGTGATTATTTATATATTCTTCTCTCGCTAGATGCCCATATCCCAAATTCATCGGTACAATATTGGTATCTAAAGATATTAATACCTTGTCAACTGTATTACTTACTAACTGTCTGGAAGAATAGCCAAACATAGCCAATAAGAATGTGTCTGAGAGTCCTTGACGAAGTTTGCATTTAAATAAAATTGAATCAATTTTCCTATTCCAGTTGTTATGTTGCACTGGATGGCAGTGTTGATATAGATCTTGAAATTGTTCTTTAGTTAAAGAAGTTAAGGCCACAAATTCTTCATGTGCTAACTGGCAAGTAATGGAACATGAGGAAATTGCTGATTTTCCTAATCTTACTTTGGACTTTTTGAGAAATCTGAATTTTGGCACTTTTCAAATTACCTATGGCTCCATCCTATGTTCACGATAACGCCCAGGAATTTGGAAATTTCAACTTCGAAAAAGATAGATGCCTAAATATCCAAATTTTTTTAAGAATTGGAATAAACATCCATCATCGCAACACTATCAAGTATCAGCTGGCCATAACATATGATCAAGATCCAAATATTTACAAATATCTGGATGCTATTGCACGTGTCGTTCCGGGGCCAGAACGGTTGGTACCTGTTGTCGCATGGCTAGTGTAAAGTCTGTTTTTTTTTAAAGATAATTTCCCAATTCAAAAATTTAGTAACTATGTTGGCAACACAAGCCTTTTCTACATAAAAAATTTGAAAGCATTGACAATTTTACATTGTATTGCCAACAGAATGTCATTTTGACTTTTATCTTTAAAAAAAAAAACAGATTTTACTATGGTTTTTAGGATATGCCAGACACCAACAACATATTAGTTATTCACAAGATAATATTATCAATGAAATAAATGATGCTGCTGGATAGAAACATGCTGCCCCAAATAATTTTATTACTAAATTAAAAATGGGCCTCAGTAGGACAAACACCCTGTATATTATTTTTTAAAACATGCTTACAGGGTAAGTCGCAAGTTAAAATTATGAATGTTTATTGTTTGTTGATATCCAGATTTTATTAAAATATACAATTAGGTACTTTAACACCCTGTATTAAAATATTTGAGTTTAGATATATTGCTTACTCAAATACATACGTACAAAAGGACCCCGAAAACGTCAAAATCGGGTTGGTATTTTTCGAAATATTCAAAAAAATCTACGTAGGGATAGTTCCTCGGATATTTCTTATGCATAGCATAGCAAGACCTACGTACTTTGACAAGCTATATCTCCTATCACAGACATACGATCCTCTTTATATTTCAATTTTTTTTTTGCAATGATGATACTTCTAAAATATTGAAATTTGGTTGAAATTTACGGGGACCTATTTTCAATGTTAATCGTGCCTCCTACTTTGTCGAATATTATATAGTTATTTTCCTAACAAGTGCGCAAAGTGTTACTTTTCCGCACGCAAACACAGTTATACGAACGACGCGAAGCGGAGTTCGGATACGTGTTTGCGTGCGGAAAAGACACTTTGCGCACGTGTTAGGAACAACATTTTTCCTACGAGCTTCATATCAGATAGGTTATAACAAAAATTTAAAAAAAAAAACGATAATTTGTTTAATTATTTTTAATTAACTTGAAGGGAACCTGTATGCATTTATCAAAAAATTACATAACAGAAAATCCTCGTCAGAGCTGTTCATCTTAAAGAGTTTAAATTTGATGAGAAAGTTTGTAGATTTTTGCATATAAATAAAGAACAAATCTGACAATGTGTCAAAGTTAATTTATATTTGGTGTTTGTATAGATGTTGGCTGATATAGAAACAGAGGAAAAATTTGTCATCATGTGTCAAAGTCGACAGGTGCACTTATTGTTGCTTGACAATTATAATTACTTTTCGGCACTCAGTGCGGATAAGGCCTGTATCCGCACTGAGTGCGGAAAAGTGTAACTTTGAGCCCGGAAATGCGTGCGGAAAAGTACTACTTTGCGCACGCTCGTAGGAAAAATATATTTCCATTGCACGAGTTGTATTTAATGAGAGAATTTCATAAATCAAAAATTTAAATTTTTTGTCAAAAAATGTCAAAACACCAGTTTTCGCACCAGTTAGTATGCAATTATCTGATAATTTGCACTAGTGCAAATTATCGCGTAATTACAATCTGATTGGTTCAAATCAACAATCAAAACATGTCAATTTATTGTAGGAATACCAGTTTTGACAGATGTATGAAATTCTCCAAGTAATTTACTTGAAGTACTGACAGCTCTGCTACCAAATGACATATCACTTGACTCCTCTTTCCATTTAAAATTTTGGGGGTACCTGGTCCCCCCACGTAGGGGTTGACAGGTAGGGGGTGAAAATACCAATAAAATGTGTCTCCCAAAAAACAAAAATTGACGTGTCTGAGCGATTTTTGATTAAACACCTAACACCTGAGAAACTCTGGGTGGGAAGTTTTTCGTGCTCCACCCTGTATAACTAACATTGACAAACTGTCAAGGTTGACAAATAATAAAGGTAACAAGATACAGGGTGGGGCACGAAAAAGTTCCCACCCAGGTTTTTTCAGGTGTTAGGTGCTAAATTAAAAATCGCTCGAACACGTCAATTTTTGTTTTTTGGGGGACACATTTTATTGGTATTTTCACCCCCTACCTGTTAACCTCTAAGTGGGGGTGACAGGTACCCCCAAAATTTCAAATGAAAAGGGGGGTCGAGTGATACGTCATTTGATATAGCTATTTTCATTAAGATTATATCCCCGAAGTTTTAAGTTGCTACTATTTACCCCGTCGAAATGGCGGCTTGTCAAATTTAGGAAAAATCAATGGAAAAATGCTGTGTGGTTTTTACCCTGTTACCTACGCATAGGTTTGACAGGTAAAAACTATACAGTTTAGATTATCAAAAAAAAAGCATTTATCCTAACTTTGACATGCCGCCATTTCGGTAGGGTGAATAATAGCAACTTAAAACTTCGGGGATATAATCTTAATAAAAATAGCTACCAAATGACATTTGAAATTTTCGGGGTACCTGTTATCCCAGCTTAGGGGTTGACAGGTAGGGGGTGAAAATACCAATAAAATGTGTCCTCCAAAAAAAAAAAATTGACGTGTTTGAGAGATTTTTGATTAAACACCTAACACCTGAGAAACTCTGGGTGGGAAGTTTTTCGTGCCCCACCCTGTATAAAATACAGGACATTTTGAAAGTTTCTAAATATAGTATGACAACAAATTAAATTATCTTATACCATTTATTGACTATTTTATAGATTTCCAAACTCCCCATTCTGACACAAAAAGTTCTTCAAGCTCCTCTACAGCAAACGCTGGAGGCATCAGCGATAGTTCCGAATCGGACAAAGAAGAAGGTTGCACGGCTTCACCGAGAATGCAAAGGAAAAAGAAGAAAAAACACAAAAATCCACCTAATAACGAACGAACTACCACGTGGCATTATAGAGGCGAAATGGATTTGGATCAAGACGATTTGAGTTACGTAGACACCTTACCAGAACAAGTCCGTTTGGTGGAGGTCACTTCGAACATTTGGGGCACCAAATTCAAAATCCACGGTCTAGCCAATGTAGTGCCTGCAAATTTAGGACAAGTAACGTATAAAACTTCTTTGTTGCATCTACAGCCCCGTCAAATGACTTTGGTTATAACTGAATTGCGGGATGACTTCCCTGTGGGGCCTGATCCAACATTTAACCCAAACTTATTCAGTGAAGACGAAGAAGAACCAATCGCCAGTGCCAGCGAGGAAAAACCAAAATGTTCCAGAATGACTATGGATAGTTGTCCACCTATTGCTCCAATGTCTCCAAGAACCAGTGCATTGAGCAAACAAAAGTCTTACGCTGGTGGTTCTAATAACGGTGAATCAAAGGAAATAGAAATCGACGATAGCGATCATGTCCGTCCTCAAAACTTGTTGCGTCCGACTAAAAGCCAAAATTGTACCAGTTTTATCGGACCACTAAGTAAGAGTTTTAAACTTTTGATTTTTGGAGATAATTTAATCGTTTTTAATTATAGGTGGCCAAAATCCGAAACACGCAATTTCGCCCATTTGTTGCGAAGCTTTGCCAGCGTTACAGTCGCCTAAAAATGCTGTGGCGCCCAGCGATATTATTTTCGATAGGCCAACGGCACCAACTATTATATCGTTTACGACCAATGGCGCTGCTAGTTTACAGGTAAGAACTGTTTTTGGATGAAATAGTTGGTTAAGACCACAAATTAACTTCGATATCAGAAATGTATTGTGTACTAGAGTCTCAATTTCCTGCATGTACTTAAAATTTTTCTTAATTTCACTAAACTATTCAACTAAAATAATTCTTTTCATTACTTAGAGCAAGCATTTGTGATTGTAGATTAACCCTTTTCTTAAACTTCCTGATTCGTGACCGTCAACTGATAAAACTTTTCGCGATGTCTTTATGTTTTCAAATTTTTCATGGAGTAGATTCGATTTCAAGATTCCAAGAAAAATTAAAATTTATGAGAAAGACCCATTAATGTACTTGAAATACTTCAATTGTACTTCAAGTTAAAAACTCTAAAAAAATCTAGTAGGTAGTTGGTAATTGGAGTACCTAAATTTGAGAAAAAATGTACTTTATACTCCGATTACTTCTACAAACTTTGACTTATTTGTACTTGTACTCCAAGTACTTTACCAATGTACTTGTGACAGTTCTGACCACTCGAGTAAAACTTCATTTCCAGAATCAATTCTACTGTCACATGTTGCTTACATTTTTATCCATTTTAACTCTTGTTCCTTGTCAGGTGAAGCCAAATTTCGAACAGCATCACTCCAATAGCGACCAAAAACCAATAGCTTTAAGAAAAACTGATATCGATAATGCAAAGCATAAAACGATAAATTGTGAAGCAAGCTCAAGCTCATCAAGCGCAAAAAATAACGATCAAGAAAAATCACGTAAGTGAAAAGTTCAATAATAATTCTTTCTAATCAATAACTAATATTCACCATAGGAGTTCCTCCAATGTTTGTAGCATCAGGTTTAATGACGAGAAGTTGTAGCGTGGGTTATTTGGACATGGTCGATGCCCAAATGGTACCACCGAGCGTAAGATTATCTTATCTTAATCGGGGTGAAAATCCAAACAAAAGGCTCATTTTGGTCAACAACCACAAAGATCAGACTAAACGAAGACACAGTAGATTACGTCACAGGACGAACTCTAAAACGGGCAATCAGCTTCAAAATTTTGGCAAATCCAAGAGCTTAGATTCCAGTGATATTTTCCATAGTAATAGTTCTAGCGGTAATAATAGTCCAAGTTTTGTTTTAAAAGAAATGAAAATACCTGAACAAATTGAACCTGTAGAGAAAGTCGAAAAAAAAATTAACAATAATATTATAAACAATAATAACGTTAATATAAATAAAAATAGTAGCAACAATAAAAATAATAATAATAGAAAGACTGCCAGGGATTTTTTCTCATCGCCCTTAATGAGAAGAAAAAAGGACAGAGGTATTTACAAATTATTATTGTAAATCAGTTAATAAAGCAGCTATTTTCAAATAGGTAAAACCAAATTAGATGAACATGAACAAAGTTGTGAAAAAAACGGGGTTCCTATACACACCCAGGCCTTAGCAAATTTAGAAAAACTAATAACTAGACTAAGAGAGGACGATTTCAGTAAATCGACTCCACCAAGTTCGCCCAGATTGCCTAGAAGTTCTCCATCGTCACCATCACCAAGTAAAAAAGGTAACTTTATGATGATATTATAATAAGAAACATGTTTGCAAATTGTTTTGTAGGTTTCAGACCACAATCGGCTTCCCCAATCCGTAGAAAAATTATGAATTCTCCGTTTCTGAGACGAAAATACAAAAATCAAGAAAGCTCAGACGATGAAGTGACGGCTTCAGGCGACGAGGTGTTCAACGGTACAAACTACAAAGACCTGGAAACATTTCAGAAGTCTCAGCTGAGACAAAAGGTAATTAAAAATGCTTGTGTTTTGCGTCCCAAAAAAGAACAAATCGATTATTTTCAGCTAAAGAGGGGCAAAATAGAGCCTAACGGGAGCTTTTGCAATAACAACCAAAACGTTCCTCAGAGAAGGGAGTTTGTGATGCACAATAAGGCACCGATGTGGAACGAAAACAGTCAAGTTTACCAATTGGATTTCGGTGGTAGAGTTACTCAAGAATCTGCTAAGAATTTCCAAATTGAGTTTAGAGGAAAACAAGTATTGAAAATATATATATGTATGTATTATTTAGTTATTGATTTTATTATTTTAGGTGATGCAATTTGGACGAATTGATGGTAACGCTTATACGTTAGACTTCCAGTATCCTTTTTCAGCTTTGCAAGCGTTTGCAGTGGCTCTGGCCAACGTCACACAAAGATTGAAATAGTTAACGTTGTTGTTAGCAATCTCAGCAATTTTTGTGTGTTACGGACAGATATTGATATCTGGATACCAATATATTTTAACCTGCCAATTTATTTATTATTGTTAAATGGGCAATTTGTGCAATAGCTTTTTGTTGTAACGTTGATTAATTCTTTTTTTTTTTTGGCCTTGATAAATTTTCGATGGATTATATTTGTTATAAATAATGTTCTTCTAGCCTTCTGTAACTGTAAAATATTTTCGATTTGTATCTCAAGATAAAAAGAAGTATCACGTGGTAGACTTGGACTAACGATTTTCTGCAATTTTTGATTCTCAATTCAATTATTCATTTGGGAAGTTTCTATTTCTAGCAAAAGAAGTGTGAGGGAAGTAGGAAGTTTGTGGAAAAAGTTCCAGTATGTGGAATTATTAGGCAAATCCAAAAACTAAGTCCGAGGAAGTTGGAGAAATCATATTTCTCTTCGAACATTTTAAATAAATACATTCATTCTTGCTCGATATTAAACTGATTAATGATACGAATTTTACACGCCCCGTGGATTCCGAACCGAAATCCACCGCCTGTCCGACTTTTTATGTTTGTTATTTTTTACAAAAACTAATGTTTTTCTTTCAAAAAGTTCGAAGAGACAGTATAGTCTCCTACTCGCAAATAATGGCTATTCATTATATGCTCGTTGAAGAATATTACTATTATCAATCCTCCCCCATTTCACGTACTGTCGTATCTCAATTTACCCAATTTTACTCAAGGCACGATTTCATCTTTCGGGTGACATTCAATCATTTGATAAGAGGTATTCATTCGGGCTTAATGGCCGTCGTAAGTTAGAATTTCTTCTTTCTTATCAATTAACCTGGACCCCGAAAGTCTCACTAACTTAATCATTTACCCATTTGTTGTAAGAATATGATTCAACTTAGATAAAATAACAATGGTGATTGTCTGTAGCATGCCTTTCCGTGAAAATTATTCCTATTCACCGGTAGACGTGTCATAAGTTTCTATCATTCCATCATTTACCCAAAATAGCGAAAAATTACAAGACCTGTAAGTCGGGTGTCCCATTTTCTATGCTCACATGTCAAATAAAGTCTGTTTTTTTTTTAAAGATAATTCCCCAAGTCAAAAATTTAGTAACTATGTTGGCAACACAAGCCTTTTCTACATAAAAAATTTGAAAGCATTGACAATTTTACATAGTATTGCCAACATAATGTCATTTTGACTTTTATCTTTAAAAAAAAAACACAGTTTACGTTGTTTTCAATTTTTTATGATGGATATCCATTTAAATCCTATATATTCATGTTTAAAATTAGCAAGAGTGAGGGCACAAAATGGCGGAGTTTTCCATATGAATATATAGGATTTTAAGAACCAATCAAAAATGAGACGACAATTGTCGCCACTGTGGTAATAGAGTCACTGTAACATGAGTCCGTCTCTTTCTCTGAGCCTGGCTAAGAAAAAGATAGAAATACATATTTGTTTGCCTGCTCGCCTATTTTTAGCATATAAAACACTATAAATACACAAAAGGCCTAGTTTCATACATAATTGAATTTCTTATACTCACCCCTCAAAAACTGTGGCCCCCACTCGGAAATTCAATTTTCTGGGCAAAATAACATAGAATTCGAACCGCGACACTTTTCCGAACACTTTAGAGTACTTTTTCCGATTGAAAAGTCCCGGAAAACTGGAAAATTCAACGAAAAACCAGGATAAAAACACTTGAAATGACCGACTGTCAAATGTCACTGTCACAGGCCATTCTTATGGCGATTTCCATTTGTCATCAGTGCCTCACTGAGTGTATCCGCATCTTTTTCTAAAAATATGTAACATGTAAGGATAAGAATAAATTTGTTTTGCCCTGATCCGACAAATAATGGAAAACCCTATTAGACCTACTTGATTGGAACCCGAGTGAAGTTGGCTACAAAGCAGTGTTGCCACCTGAAAAAGAATCGTAATTTATTAAAAAAGCTTAATTGATAATGATTTTAAAACTAGAAATTCCCTAAAAAGTTGTTTTTTGCTTGCGCTTTGCGCCCTCAATTTTAGCATTTAAAACTAGAAACTCTTGGCTAAAAATTGAGAAAACTCAAAGCCTCGTACTTTAAATCAGTTTTTTCGCTCGAAAACGGCCTGGAAAAGCGGAAAATCCAAATAAAAACCAGCAAAAATAACATTCCAAAGTCTACTTGATAAAACTTGAGTTTTCGTTACTTACCCCTATAGAAAACTGGAAATTTTTGGCGAAAAATGAAGCCTCGTATTTTAAACACTGAAGTAGAAAGAGGTATGGAATGAACTTTGCGTCATCCAATTGATTCCAGAATGAGATAGCGCCAGTAAGGGCAAGAAATATATTGGATCTCCCATATCTCTCACTCTAACCCTGAGTGAGATAGCGCTAGTAAGGGCAAGAAAATCTCATGGATTTCTCCTATTCTCTCACTCTAATGTTGGCCGCAAATATATGTATTAAGTAGATAGGCAAAGGGCTATTCCAACCTTCTTACTACTTCATTGATTTTAAACCAGGTTTCCCGACTGAAAACGGCCTGAAAAAGAGGAAAATTCGAAGGAAAACAGGATAAAATGTAAACACGTCAATTAAAAATTGCCGAATGTCAAGAGAAAAGTAGTAAATGACATTTCATTACAAGGCCTACTACTTAATTAAAAGCGACGTTGCCACATTTCAAATAGGAAAATATTACATTTTAAATAGTTTTTAGTTTAAAATTTAGTTAAATAATTAATTAATAATGTTTAATAAAATAATGGAAAACTGAAAAATTCAACAAAAAACCGGCAATAAAAATAAAAGCGCGTAAGCCATTTTAAAACAATAATGGAACTACACTCATTTGTTACGAGAAGGCGCTGCAATCGCGAACCCCAAAATCGAGTAAAATAACTAATTAGGACTTAATTAAGGCCTAATTAAGTTAAATTACATCAAAATTAATATAATTAAGCCTTTATTATCAGGTTTTAATCAAGTAGGCTTTAGAATGGCAAGTTTGACACTTGACAGTCGGCCATTATAAGTGAAAAATGGCCAATCGGCCTCCGATTTTTCGTCGAATTTTCCAGTTTTCAATAGGAAAAAGTACTCTAAAGTGATAGGAAAAGTGTCGCGGTTCGAATTTGGTGTTTATTTTGCACAGTTTGAGGGGTGAGTACCGGGAAAACTAATTTATCGGGTGGTATGAATAAAAACGAAGTACTTGCTACTACTACAAGTATTAGCATGTTCTACGTAGTATTTACTTCAAAACGAAGTAGATACTACATTTCGACACTACCGGAAATAAGTAAATGCTTCTTTATGAAGTAAATACTTCGAAGGATATACTAATACTTGTAGTAGTAGCATGTACTTCGTTTTTATTCATACCACCCATTATAAAACAGAGGCTTTTGGTGTGTATAGTTTATAGTAATTTCATCTTAAAATAGGCTTTTTTTGATCAAACAGGCCTTCGTACATGAAAAAATAAAATTCCAGACAGATTATCTCAAATTTTTTTTTTTTTTAAATGTGATACGCAGATCGTGAGATAAGGGACAAAATTATAGAATTTTGTTTAATGAAAGAGCCTCCAATTTATAGATGAAATCACTATGTTGTCTGTAAATATTTGAGAAAGACTCGAAAAGTGCTTTTGAATTTTTCTTAAACATCAACATATAAAAAAATCCTCACTTTATCCAGAGTCACTTTCTTAATAGTTAACTCAGCTGGAGTAGGGGCGTAAAAATCTTATCCCTGGCCTTTGTAGAGCCTGATTTCAAAGTATCAAAATCGGATTTTTGACCATTCTACATAGAGCTTAAACTTAACAGAGAAACACTCAAAGTCTCATTCTTCACTCCTCTTAAGCTAAGTTATGAACTAAAACAGCATCGAAACAAAGTTTGATTTCTGACCATTTTAGAGCTGAAATTGAGTTAGAGATGTTTAAAAAAACTCATGCACATTTAAAATTTTGAACTTCTGAATAATCTAGATTTGAAATCAAAGTGAATTATTCAGCTGATGGAGGGACGTAAAAATCTTATTCCAGGCTTTTGTAGTTCTAGATCTACTTCTGGATAACTTTGGCTTTTGAAAGACAGTCTAATTCATAAATCTTGTGAAGGCTAGAAATATTTTTCAAAATGGACAATTTTTAAACAAAAAAAGCTACATTTTTCTTTTGCTAGTTATTACTAAAGAAAATGGCTTTAAGAGGCAAAATGCTTTACCTAAATAAATTAATTATTGTAATAGGTACATTTTATAATAATATAGCCAAAATTCCAATATTACCAATAAATACGTTAGTGTCCCAATATTTTGGGACACCTTTGTACTAATTTATTTATTGTTAACAAATTTGCCATTATATAGTTGTACCTATACTTATCGCGACATATTTTTTAAAAAAAATATATATTTTATAGCTGTTTTGTAGGTTTTCTCATATTAATTATTGTTCGTTTTCCTAATATACTAATTGAAACTCAATGTTACATTAAAAAAATATAATTTTATTTGCAATAAAGTCGCATTAATTTTTCCTGACTGGATGAATCGGGTGACTCATGTGACTCAAATCCGGAGGATTTTTCTCAAAGGCGCTGATTTCCTTCATGCCAGCCTCGACGATTTTCCACAATGCTCGTTTTTGTAATTTGCGTACCAAGTCTTGACTAATGGATAATCGGAAATGTCGAATTTGATTGCTTCCAAGCACATTGTTGCTGTGACCAATTGGAAATCAGCAATTGAAATTTTATCTAAAAGTATTTGTTGATTATATTAATAATTGGAAATACAATGAAGATACTTGACCGGTGTGAAATTAGCCTCTAAAGATAGCCTCCAAAACTTCCGGAAACTGCCGAACGGTCAGTGGCGTCGGAAATATAAGACAATACAATAACCTTAAATCTGCTCGTACTGACAGGGTCATATTTTCAGGAAAAATTGGGACAAGCATTTACTATTTTTTCACCCTAACACCAGATTCCGATAGGCCGTCAGAGGGTGTCAAAATAGGGTTGAAGATATCAAGAAAATCATATCTCAAAATATGCTCGTGCTCACAGATTTATAGTTGCAGGATAAATCACGACAAGCATTTTGTATTTTTGCACCCTAACCTTAGATCCCGATAGGCCATCAGAGGGTCTCAAAATAGGGGTGGAAATTTAAAAAAATCATATCTCAAAATCTGCTCGTGCTGACAGATTCATATTTTCAGGACGAACTATGACAAGCATTTGCTATTTTTTCGCCCTAACACCAGATCCCGATAGGCCGTCAGAGGGTGTCAAAATAGGGGTAGAAATTAAAAAAAATCATATCTCAAAATCTGCTCGTGCTGACAGATTCATATTTTCAGGTCGAATTATGAAAAGCATTTGCTATTTTTTCACCCTAACACCAGATCCCGATAGGCCGTCAGAGGGTGTCAAAATAGGGGTGGAAATAAAAAAAAATAATATCTCAAAATCTGCTCGTGCTGACAGATTTATATTTTCAGGACGAATTATGAAAAGCATTTGTTATTTTTCACCCTAACACCAGATCCCGATAGGCCGTCAGAGGGTGTCAAAATAGGGGTAGAAATTTAAAAAAATCATATCTCAAAATCTGCTCGTGCTGACAGATTCATATTTTCAGGTCGAATTATGAAAAGCATTTGCTATTTTTTCACCCTAACACCAGATCCCGATAGGCCGTTAGAGGGTGTCAAAATAGGGGTGGAAATTAAAAAAAATCATATCTCAAAATCTGCTCGTGCTGACAGATTCATATTTTCAGGACAAATTATGACAAGCATTTGCTATTTTTTCACCCTAACACCAGATCCCGATAGGCCGTCAGAGGGTGTCAAAATAGGGGTGGAAATAAAAAAAAATCATATCTCAAAATCTGCTCGTGCTGACAGATTCATATTTTCAGGACGAACTATGACAAGCATTTGCTATTTTTCACCCTAACATCAGATCCCGATAGGCCGTCAGAGGGTGTCAAAATAGGGGTGGAAATTAAAAAAAATCATATCTCAAAATCTGCTCGTGCTGACAGATTCATATTTTCAGGACAAATTATGACAAGCATTTGCTATTTTTTCGCCCTAACAGCAGATCCCGATAGGCCGTCAGAGGGTGTCAAAATAGGGGTGGAAATTTAAAAAAATCATATCTCAAAATCTGCTCGTGCTGACAGATTCATATTTTCAGGACGAATTATGACAAGCATTTGCTATTTTTTCACCCTAACACCAGATCCCTATAGGCCGTCAGAGGGTGTCAAAATAGGGGTGGAAATTAAAAAAAATCATATCTCAAAATCTGCTCGTGCTGACAGATTCATATTTTCAGGACAAATTATGACAAGCATTTGCTATTTTTTCAACCCAACACCAGATCCCGATAGGCCGTCAGAGGGTGTCAAAATAGGGGTGGAAATAAAATAACAAATCCTTATCATAATTTGTCCTGAAAATATGAATCTGTCAGCACGAGCAGATTTTGAGATATAATTTTTTTATTTCTACCCCTATTTTGACACCCTCTGACGGCCTATCGGGATCTGGCGTTAGGGTGAAAAATAGCAAATGCTTGTCATAATTCGACCTGAAAATATGAATCTGTCAGCACGAGCAGATTTTGAGATATGATTTTTTTTTATTTCCACCCCTATTTTGACACCCTCTGACGGCCTATCGGAATCTGGTGTTAGGGTGAAAAAATAGTAAATTCTTGTCCCAATTTTTCCTGAAAATATGACCCTGTCAGTACGAGCAGATTTAAGGTTATTGTATTGTCTTATATTTCCGACGCCACTGGCCGTTCGGCAGTTTCCGGAAGTTTTGGAGGCTATCTTCACACCGGTTCGGGGCTTTCAGATTTAGCCTCCTTCTTCTTGTGGACGGGACAAGGATTGTTTTGTTTGCGTTTAGGGATAATCCTTCGCCTTCGCTCCAATTTTTAACGATGTTTAGGGCACTTTGCATTCGGCTTGTCACTACGCCTTCATGTTTGCCCTTGATTACAATGGCTAGGTCATCTGCGTAGCCTATGACCTGGTATCCAGCACTACTCAGTCTGGTAAGAATTTTGTCTACCACCAGTGCCCATAGTAGTGGAGAAAGAACGCCCCCTTGAGGACACCCTCTGACCGTGGTAGCGATAGCTGATGCTCCGTTTATTTCAGCCGTAACGTGACGGTGTTTCAGCATCGACTCTATCCATTTTACAATTGGGACTTCAACATCCCATTCTTGTAATGCTCTGGCGATTGATTGATGTGAGGTGTTGTCCAAGGCACCCTCTATGTCGATGAAAGCTGTGAGAGCGATCTCTTCGCACTCGATTGTCTTTTCAATGTCTTTAACAAGGCAGTGTGAAGCACTTATTGTGGATTTGCCTGGCTGATAAGCAAATTGCTTCGAGTAGAGCGGTCTTCTCAATAGAGTTTCGCTTGTGATGTACTGGTCGATTGCTTTCTCCATTGTCTTGAGGAGAAAGGAGGTTAGGCTAATGGGACGATATGATTTTGGTTCGTCCTCGGGTCTTTGGTATGAATATCACATTAGCTTCCCTCCAAGATAGCGGTATGTGCCCTAGGAGCAGGCTTGCCTTAAAGAGTTTTTGTAGGTGTACCTTTAAGTACTGGTAGCCTTTTTGCAGTTGTGCGGGAAAAATCCCGTCTTTGCCTGGAGATTTGTAGGGTCTGAAGCTATCGATCGCCCATTTTATTCTGTTCATTGTGAAGATTTTCCCAGCCAGCCTTTTGCTCCTGCCGTTAGGGCTTTGTGGCCCTTCGATAGGCGGAGTGACCTGGTTTAGGGCTTCAACGATTACCGAACCTGGAAAGTGAGTTTGTAATAGTACCTCTATATAGACTTTCTATATGATCGGTAAAGTGTTCTCCGTTTGGCTTTTTAAGCAGACCAATTCCGTTTGAGGGTTTTTTTGGAGCAACTTTTTGGAGACGTTGAGCTGGGGCTAATTCGTCTATCCCCTCGCAGAATTGTCTTCATGATTTCCTTTTTGATTTTCCTAATTCACGGTTGTACTTGTCTAGGGCTGTTCTATAGTCTGCCCAGTTGCCGTTTGTTTTTGCCTTGTTGAACAGTTTTCTGGCATCTTGTTTCAGACATCTCAGCTGCCCGTTCCACCAAGGCACATTTCTGTGGACTGCCTTCTGTTTTACGGGACTCTCTGTTCTCATAGGAATCTTGTATTGCATCTGTTAGATTGTCAGATGATGCCTCTAGCTCTTCTATTGTATTTATGTCAAAAGGGAGTTTATTTAGACGCAGGCAGAGACCCTCCACATAGGATACCCAGTTGGTGAGTTTTGGGATTCTCGTCTGTATTGAGTGATTCATTACTGCCTCTAAGTCGAACCTTATTGCTTGATAGTCCGACAGGGAGGGTTCATTTGACACAAGCCAGTTGGTTATTGTGTTAGATGTAAATGTGTCAGCGAGAGTCACGTCTAAGACCTCTTGTCTGTCGGCGTTAATGAAAGTGGGTTTGTTACCTTTGTTGATAATGTCTATGTTGTTAGAGTTCAAATATTCAAAAAGATACTCACCCCTTACGTTTGTATCGGTGCTTCCCCATCCTACCTGGTGATGGGCGTTGGCGTCTGCCCCGATAATGTAGTGTCTGTTTCTCGCTTTGCACCACGTGATGAGTCATTGGACGATCTCTGGCGGTGCTGAGTTATCATCACCTGGAAAGTAGGCTGAGGCTATGAGAATATGCCTTGAGCCACCTTCCGTTGGACTTCTACTGAAGCAGCTGCCAAATCTTGTGTGATGACGTCTGGAACAGGTAAGAATTTTAAATTTTTGTCAAGCAGCAGTGCTTCTCTTGGTCTTTTGTGGTTAATGTAGATTAACTTACATGATTTAATATTTAGGCTTTTTATAGAGCCTCCATTGACCCAGGGCTCTTGAAGTAGCCCTACGTTGATTTTTTTTCCAAACATTCTTCTTCTAATCTCACTAGTGGCAGCTTTTGAGTGTTGAAGATTTATTTGAATGCATTTGATGCTTGGTAAGTTGCTTCTCTTTGGTTGCTTGGAGGAAGCCATTAGAGTTGCACTCACTTTTCGGACCCCACCTAGGCACTTTCATCTTAATGACTCATTGAGTCTTTAAACGTGCCTGCCCTTGGTTCGGCGCCGCTTTTCTTTGGGGAGCTTGGCGGCTCCACAGCTGTTGTGCTCCGGCTGCTTTGCGGTCTTATAGTCGTATGACCGAACTTGTAGCTTACCGCGTAGCCTCCGGATTTGAGTTTTTCTGCGGATGCACTGTCCACAGAAAGGGTTAATGTGACCAGGTGGCCCTCGGTGTTACGTCGTATGACTCGCCAATTTTTGACGTTTACCTTAGGTACGTATATACTAAAAAACTGTTAACTCAAGGGGAACAATTATAGCCAAGCAGAAAATTACAGATCCATAACTTTATCTGTATAAATATCCAATAACAACACATTCCAACGACAATTTAAAAACCTATAGTGCCTGGAATTTACAATAAATGAAATTTTTTATTAAGGTCTGTTCCAAAAACTGTCCCAAGAATGGTTTCAGAGCCACTCTGTATACGAATTTTTTGGTTTTGCGCAGAATCTTGACGGTACATTGTACGGTTTTGTGCTTTCATGGAACAAAGCTAAAACTTTTGAAAAAAATTTAATACTAATTCGGCCCTATATTGTTACTAACTAGAAAATTGGGATTTTCATTTACCGTCGGGTCGGTTGGGGTACTGTATTACGTAATAG